TCCAGGACGACTGGAAAAGACGATAAAAAGAACGATGAGGTTTACGAGGAACCAAAAATTTTCATTGTACATTATTTTTTGCTATATTGTATTTCATGGTCCCTTATAGTAAGGAAAGACGACCAGACTCTGCTAAACCTAGCAAGTTATCAGGAGATTGTGTACCAACGACAAACTCATTGGGTTTAAACTTCTGGCTGGCCGCGTCTTAGGGTCACTACTACTCCACTGAGGGAGGAGTGATCTGTAGCGGTAAATAAATCCCCAAAATAAATAGCTCTGTATGTTTTCGACATTGGATGCTGACCAGATTAGTTTTGATGAGCTCACCTAGCAGAAGGCGCTCGGTCAGGCATCCGCACCAGATCACGTGTGGGAACGCCGTGCTCAACATCTACCGCAATCGCTAGCCAGATTAGATCAGACAATTCCGATATATTGGCAATCGTCAAATACAACTTCTGATCTCCTCGATTCTGTCTTTTGATTTCTCTTGGTGGGTACGAGTTATATTAGGTGTTACTGGTTAAAGTGTTGTCATACACTGAATACCTGTGCTACCTTTAGCACTGATTTCAGTGACCATCAATTACGTAAACCGTGCTCCATCTCACTAACACTTTTACGAAGCGTCGTATCTATCCGAATTAAATATACGTAGAAATAACTGGTCGCAAACCTGAGGACTCAAAAATGGTAAGATCACTCAAAGCCGCCCGCCGTTTCGTTTCACTCATCTTGAACAGCCTGTAATGAGGCGGTCATTCCGTACTTCAATCGCTATGAGTTTTTCGCGTGTCCGTCGGGTTACACGAATATTTTATCTTCTCATATTTAAATAGAATTTTGCTACGAAAAATTGTCCTCAAAAGGTAAAGAAAATTTTAAGCCGTCAATGCTGCAATCGCCAATAAATGAAGTAATGAAAGCTATTAGGGATCGGGTTGGTAAGCAGATCAGTGCTGCTGATATAAAGACTATAAAACCTCAACTGTCCACCTGTGAGTGTATTTAAGTATATAACAGGTTGCGGTATGTAGATGCGAGTATTTTATATCTTACGACGGTACGGTGAACGGAGAGAGTACTCTCAAGGGGATATATCATTAGGATTTTCTCCAGTACATATGAACAGATAGAATTATACCACAAATATCCAATAGTAGTTGGCACGGATTCTACTCAAAATATCGATAAAAAAGGTTAATATGTACTCTCATCAATTCTAATACGTAAGCATTCGTTATTTCAATTAGTAATAACGCATAAATTCCGTCAATGGCATACTGTCCTATTTCCATGAACGCAAAAGCAATGCGAGTTTTTCTTTATTTTATAACATAGCCATCGCAAAGAGAGCGAAGTTTTTATTAAATATATATACGAAATTATAACCAGAATACACTATCATGGAAATTCGGAAACTCGTTACTCACTGATGATACCGTTTCTGAGATTGTAAAATCTGTTGATTGGAACCGCCCTACACACCAATCAATACCCTGCACCAATAGCGAGGAGTGCACCACTAAGTGTTGGAGACGATCAATCTCCTCAACTGATTCGTGGCACCTCATATGCAGTCTGTAGCCACTTCCATGAAAATGTGGGACGCACGCCATAAAACCCGACACTTTCAATTCAACCTGCACATACGCACAACCCGGTTCGCGGCTTTTACGAAGTTTGTTAGGTTTTGCAAAGGTAACCAAGAATGTGGTCTTAACACTAAAGTCCACTTTTATTTCTTCTTCAGCAAGTTGTTCTCAAGATAACGGAAGGTAGGATTTTTATCTTCAGTAGCATTGATGTAAAAGTGAAATCTAAAAATGATATTAACGGACTAAACAAACTTCTTATCGTTTAATGTCTCTCATTAACATTATTTTCAGGAACAGTTTAAACATACTGGTTGACACATTTGTAGTGACCTTCTTTCATCGAGAGAACGCGATTGGTGTAAAAGAAACAATTAGTTTTATAACAGATTGTACCAGGGGTTGTTTTACCGTACTTGTTTGTTCAACAGTACCAGAATACGTACATTCTTCCATTGATTGTGACCTTGCACGAATTCGGTTACGCTCAGTAACCACACTTGTACTCCTTTGACACGATCTCGGTATTCTTTCGATACCACGAGATCTCCAATAAATACATCCCGACTACAGCCATTAACTGCCTTCTGATATTCGGTCTACGGGGGATCATATCGGTTAACTGGCACGTAGTCTTCCTGTAGTGTCGATCGTAGCCAACCAAGACTCGACGCCCAACTACACATTCTGAAAATATAATAATTAAATAATGTTTTCCCCAATCGTCGCGTAAAGTCCCATATAGTATGAACCCTAAACAAAATATGGTGGGCACCTAGAGATTTTGTACTGAAGCATTTCTAATTTCACTTTCGTTGTCACAAATGAAGCTTTCAACCGATATACCAGACAAAATGCCATCAAGGAAGGTGGCTAAACACCTTTTGATGAGATTATATGTCTCTCTATCTATAATCTCATAGGCTACTGACATCGCCTTTATTGACGCATCCAGTGACTTTAACTGGTAGAAATTTGTTCCCGTGTCGTAGAACTGTAGTTCTTCATTATTACGTTCAAAGGTGATGCCAATGCCTATAATTTACGTAAAGCGGTAAAATATGACCTTCTGATTCCATTTACACAATAAATGGCTTTGGAGTCAACCGTCTTCGTCACTGTGTCTGTGTTGAGCCTACCAAACGGACAGTATGCGCTGCGAAGATTCGAAACTATGTGTTAAGTCAGCATTGTGAAAACTATAAAATAATTCAGGGGGTTTGACTGTGTAAGCACACCGCAGCTTATAATGCAGACACTATGCATTGCTTAACTTTTCATATGTTTTGTAAAGGAAATCACTTACTATAAAGGTTACAGCTCCTGACATCAGTAAAAAGCAAATGCACTTTGTTTGATCTTCCGTGAGGCGGTGAAAATATGGGCTTTACTCATGAATGAAGCGCAGTGAGTCATGGTCATTAGTCATCGAACATCTGGTTGCGGTGAACAGTCCATTTACCGTACGAACGTGGGCAAAGAACCGACATCCACAACCAAACGTTTGCCTAATTTGTTATATAAAGGATGCTTGGAGAGGCATACTTTCGTGTCAATGAAGATGTTATCCGCTATAGACGATTCCCTCTCGTTTTGTATATACATTTAATGAGAACTTCGCTCTCTTTGCGACGGCCACTTATGTAATAAAATAAATAAAATCTCGAGTTCCGTCACCGTTTTTTGCTAACTCTCCTTCAATTAGAAATCCAATGCCATCAGGTATCTGTCAAAACATATTTTCCGTTTCCATGTTCTATATGGATGTATGGGACGACATGACTTAGGTCGCAAAAATTTTGAAATGCTGCTCCTCTAAAGTTGATAACTTTTATTTTTCTGACAGTGGGCCCTTCATTAGATGATGGCAGCTGCGCTTTCAATTTATCTAAGTGTAAGGTAGACAGAGGCTCACGGAAATACAATTTCACATCGAGAGCAATTTAATTTCCCGAGATAATCCACCACTCCAACGTTTAAATAACATTGTTGTTATGTATAGTATCAACCACTGTCTCTTGTGATCAGTGAAGTGTATTTAAGGGAGAGATATATTGCATAAACATTTTCCAGTTTGCATTTTAAGGATAGCTACGAACATGATTGAGCTTCATACAACTGCCTAATACAGTTGTCATAATTTTTGAAGAAAGTAGAAACCCATAAGAAGCATATTTATGACATAAATACCAGAATAAGCGCTAAACGTACCAGTGATATGATACATAGCATTGAAAGTTAATTCTTAACCGTCAAAATAGTGAATTATTATTTGAGATAATGGGACTAGAAAATCAATAGACAATCAACTCGCCGCCATTATACCACAAAAAGTCAAGAAATGTTAGATCGATCTTGCATAAAATAACATCAATATAAACCTAGTGCAAATAAGCATACTAAGGACAAGTGAATAACCAACAGCTGAAGAAGAGCCATAGCTTAAGTGTTGCAGAGTCCAGTAGTACTTTAATAAGTGGCAAAAGTGGGGCACTCCTTGCTGCTGGTGCAGGATATTGAATAATGGGTAAGGTGGTCCCAACCAACAAGTTTTACAATCTCAGAAACAGTGTCACCAGTGAGTAACGAGTTTCCGAATTTCCCCGATAGCATATTCCGGTCGTCGTCACATAATTTTCTAAAACTGGCATTGTTACAACACGCTACTACCTGGCACATAAAGGTTTTTAAGGCAACTAAATGCCTATTGCTAATATACATTGATTGGAGGGATGGAACGGGAGAGCTATAGCATGACTAACTATCTTCTGAGGCAAAGAGATGTACGTAAGGGCAGTTAAGATCGTTTACGAATCTCGCTTTAAGTGATTTCGCTCTGTTCTCTAATGTAAGCTCGAAGACATGACACTGTAGATGTTGACCGAGGGAATTTAAAGTTTGTAAGTTGTCTGGACGATTCAACTTCAAAGGTCGATCTGTATTTATGTAGACGGTGCCGCTCATACTTCAGTAAATGACGATGTAATGTGTCCTTTGGATATACGTCTCTTCAACACATGTGCTAATTCCTACAAGAAGGCTTTTTTCTTGGCCTAAAAACAAGTCAACGCTTTAGAATATCGTCATTTAGTGTCCTAGAGGACTTGTTTAGGTATGTTTAGGTTTGCTGAGGTAGGCTGTTTGTCTACTGTTGCTGTCTCCAGAACTTCATACAGAGGGCACATTCGAGTACAAAATGTTTGATGTAATCTTCCTACAACCATTGAGACTAGAGTTAGTCATGATGGTCCAATTAATTATTACAATATATAGACGAACTTAAAACTTGTACAAGATATTATTTTTCAAAAAACTGAAGTTTTTGGACATAAGTTAATCAAATATCCAAAAACTCACTATGGTGAAATAATGTAGTTTAATTGTACCACTATTAGATATTCAATCAACCTTGCGCTTTCGGTTTTACCGTCAACGCGCGTTGTTAGGATGGTTCGTCTGTTATGCCCGGGTAAGGTTATGCACGAATACTAGAGTCATCTGCGATGCCTCATCAAAATGAAATAAAACCGACAATCTATCGCGGTCAACTTCCGACCTCTGCAACTTGTCCTGGTTCGCTATATACATGTGATTTTCATGATGATATACAGAATGTTGTGCAAAAGCGCACAGCGCTTATGCCAGGTCAAATGGATTTAATATCAAACCAGACATCAAGCTATCACCCACTCCCTATAATTAATCATCCTAACTTCACTGTTTGTCAGAAATCATTTTGTGGGGCGGTAAGTACATTTGTTCTCGAGAATATGATTTCATGTTTTATAAATATTAGAGCTCTAAATTCTCATATTTTGTTGAGCGTTATTACCTTTCAAATATGCTCTGGGTTGCTTATTTAAAAACTATGTTTATTACATGTCTGGCTGATGTAGCAGAAGTGATATATAGAATGTTTATACAAATACACTTGGAAGTAAGTCTATATGTGATGCTAAACACAACTAAATTAATCTAACAGGTTCAAAATTTGCCAACTCTAAATTATCCCCACATCTTATCCCTATTGTCAATGGGTTTCTAAGGTGTACAGAGTAACGTAAGGCATTTTACGTATGGGAGATAAGCGTCCGCGAGTTTTGTTCTTATAGAATCAGTTATTGGAAACTTTAGATACTAGGCGTCGAATGTAACTAATAAAACAGACTATAATAATAAAACCTTTTGTTTCTAGTTGAAATTCTATTCACAGGTTTGTGCAAGATTCGGTATAATTTGTTCATCCTTGGTTACTTGAGATCGTACACATTGTATACTTAAACACTAACAGATTCGCGTGTTCATACATAATTGACATTTAAAAAAATAACGAGATTCTGACTTTCCATTTCAAGATAAAGAGGTCTTTGAGATTCTTAGACAGAGCAACCCGGAACCTACACTTTCGCTAGAAGACTAGTGCCTATATATTTCTATGTTTGCCTGTTTTGTCATATTTCATAGTAAATAGACTTAGCCAGCAAAAGTGATAATCGTCAGACACAGACAGACTTATAAATCTATGTATTACTTAAGTGGGATTACAAAGTCGATTTTGTCGCTCTTGGAAATGTGAATTGCAATGCTTATCAATGTATTGACACTGTTATTGACTCAGAGTCCAATAAAATAAATAAATATGAGTGTAGCCGGGAGGTGAAGTTAACAGCAGCCTGTATGCTTCACTAAAACTGTGATGTTTCAGTGAATTTCATCGGCACTAAATTTATCAATGTTATTTCTAATTACTAAATCATCCATTGACTTGCAGTCGTTAGCTTGTTTCATTCAACTCACTAAATCCTCATAGTTAGTCTAGTAGCTACATTTTATCTGCTAAAAATAATATTTATCATTTGGTTATTTAGTATATAAGATCTAACTTTTGGAAGTACATACGTTTGCGCTATTCAAAATTTTTTGTCGCTAATTAGTTTATTTATTTGTCATGGTTTTTCTAAAGCAAACGTTTTGCTTTATTCAACCATTAAGCTTGCCATTTGCAAAGTCACAAAGGATTTTTGTAGTTGCAAGCCTTGTTTTGTCGACAGACATCTTTTGTTCAGTCCATTTTGTTAAATAGTCAGTCTGTGGAAACGGTTGTTTTGTTGGGTTGTGAAATCAAAATAAGCAAGTTGGTTTAACCACCCTGACGACTGTTTGATCCTGGACACTACCGTACCTCTGGACTTTTGAAACTGATTGTCCATTTTGAAAACAACTAGAAGAGCTATACCAATTCCGGATCAGGCAGTAGTAGCACAGAAATAACTTTTGCTGACCACAACTTATGAGTAAAATCGAAGTGAATTAGAAATTATAGAGTACTAATATCCTGACAGAGCTATCGTATAAATGAAATTTACAGGTAAATTAAGTAAATATATAGCAGTTATGACGATTTTTGCTTTGTATGAAAAACGTGCTATCAATGGTGTATAATACTCACCATTTTAAAAGCAGCTGGCTAAGTAAAAGTAATATATAATCAGCTTAGTTATAAAAATCTTCTATACTCTTTGTGACATGTTTGAGTTAATTATGTACTCATATCTTCATTCTGGATAATAATGGGTGTTATGGCTTTAAGTCGCTGTCGATTTTTACCCTGTGTTATCGATCGATTACAGTGACACGTAAACACGTAAGGACGACCTAGAGTCTCGATTGGTCCCGCTTCCCTGTCTAGCCCAGTTAGTTGAGTCCAGAACACAAGTCACAGCCTCGGAGATATGAATCATTATATTTCAAACATACTTTGTTTATATACCAATCAAGCATACCACATCGTACCATAAAATAGAAAACAACATTTTGTACAATACTCAACAAGTGAATAGATATCGACCAATAGAAAATGTCCATTTCAAGTCCAAGGACACCATTGGACTTAACATGATAATTATTGGTCTATTCCTCTGCATCCACAACAATGGGGTAAGAGGTTATATCACTGAATAATTGTATTTAGTGATGTTCTCTTCAAAATAAAGATAGCGACAAATTCAACACTTAATAAGTTTCCTACCAAGTCTTTCAATCACAATCACTCAGCTAAAATTCCTTGCACCATTTTAAACAATAAAGAGTTATCAGCAAGAGAAATCCTATCAGTTTTAGTTCATGGATGCGGTTTTGTTCCACCTCACAGTTCAGTTTTGCACTCCCTCAGTTATGGAGTGATTCCTATCAAAGAATTGGGCCATAAATAGCATAGACATCCGGTTAATCATATCAGTCGTTGAAAAGTTTATAGGAATTCACATTTTATTAGCTCTTTTTTTGAGGTAAGAAAATTACGAAACTAGAGCTTGAAGTCATGCTTGTATTTGTTTTCTACATTTTTCTCTTTTGTCACAAAGTTTCCGATGCTTTTGATTTTTGTTGATATCTTTGATGCCTAGTGAAAGGTGTGTTCACTTGTAGACTTAATTTGTCACTGAAGCTAGTTGTTCCAAGCCTATCAATGTTTTTGATGTTGCGTCGACCTTCATGTTTAGTTTGCCTGATATATGGATACAGCTCACTGTCTTTTGGAATGTTTTGACGTTTGAAACTGAAAAATTTTCAAATCCAATTTACTGTATTTTTAGCAATTTTTTCGGCTCTATTGGTGAATTTTCCAGTCCAGATAAATGATTTGTATGAAAACTTCTCAAACTTGATATGCTGTGTAGGCATTTTGTTTGAAAAGGCTTTTGGATCTTATGTATATGTTCTTATAAGATACAGAATTTTATTCATTACTCTTTGGAAATCATATTAAAATTAATTGGTACTTTGGTGACCGCATGATTTATGATCTTCTGATTGATACTGTAACAGAATCACACAGGATCGTTTTTCATTACATAACTGTAAAAGATTCGTTTCTTTGAATCGAAAGTTCTCATTTCTTGACAAGAATGTCAGTCAGTCAGCACCATGCACATATATTCATCGGTCCTAGTTACCATACCTCATTAGCACAACAAGATGAACATCGAATTCATAGAGGTAGTTAATTCAGTGGTGGTAATGTATAAGAGAAAAATTGCATATAAGGACATAGTACAGGAAGAAAGAATTAGTTGGTAAAAAGATATGAAGCGATTTTAATCTCATAGTTTAAGGGATGAAAGAGAGTGTATACACTGACGCCATTGTGACCGATTCTGAGCCATGTTACCCAGAGTCTCCAACGATTGGTTACGATAGTCACGCGGACCCCAACCAAGTAGGCTGCATCTACCAACATGGCTCAGACTAGAAGTTAGTGACTTCAAGCACTGATGCCACGTTTTGGTTCGGTCGCCCCTAACATTCTTCCAACCATTTCCAACACTGGTCAGCATTGCTCGTCGTGGTAAACGGTGTTCAGGCATACGTAACACATAGCTCAACTATCTCAGTCGATGAAGATTCACAACCTCATCGACTGATTTACCATCATTTTCTAATACCCTGCGTCTAACCTCACTATTACTTACCCGGTGATCCCAGCAGATGCGAGCAATATTTCTAAGGCATCTGCGATCAAATACTAGTAGCTTACGAGTATCTTCTACTCTTAATGGCCATGTTTCGAAGCCGTAAATTAAAACAGAACTAACTGCCGCGCAGTTCCTTTTGATAAAAATACAAGTTAGTGTTCTGATTTAAACCGAAGTCAATCCCATAATGACCACAATATGTGTATATAAGTTTTCATTGCCGCCTGGGAACTTGTACATAATTACTTCGGTTATTTACTTACTTTGAAGTGACTTTCATTAAATCATGAATCATCAGAAATACAATTTTTCTACTCATTGGGATATAAAAAATTATTTATTACGTGTTTCCATAGAAATTGTGTTTACTTTCTCGAGTGGCCTCATTGTTCTACAAAATAATGTGAATTTTTATGTTATCTTTCCTTAGTTTTTTGACTGTTCATCAAATGCATCTTCACCAGGTTGTGCTGCTTCATCACCGGTTTGTCATTCAGGTATATATGGGATTATTGAGCCTCCACAAAGTAGTTCTATCCCAACAGCACAGACACTTGCTTTGTCTGCACACCATGTTTCTTACAACCCAGACACTGTCGTTCCTCAAGGTTTTGCCACTGAAGACAGGATGCACGGAAATTCATCCGCACACAAACTTACTCATAGTCACAGTGCTCAAGATGCTGGAGGCTTCATGTTTCAGTCATTGTTTCCTTCTCCAGGTCAAGTGTTACATCGATATGGTTCACACCTAACTCCAAATCATATTCAAATGCACCAAATTTCTCCGCCAGGCAATATATATGGTCCGTTGGTTTCAGTTCCCGTACCTTACTTTTCCCTTGGATCAACTAATTCAAACTCTTTGTCACATAACCCTCTAGTTTATTCAACAAGATCCGCGTCGAACTCAGCATGTGTAAGCACAAATAATAATCCTTCCAGTGCAAGTCCATTAGTCAGTCGAAGACCTCGTCTCCCTAATAGTAATTCATGTGCATTTAGTGAATTGTGGCAATCGGGTCCTGTACCGAATATATCTACACAAAGTTCTGCATTACCACTAACTTCAAACATCGGGATAACACAAAATCCACCAAACTGTGGTTTACGAGAGCGTGTTCCATGTAACCATGACACATCTGCATATAATGAGTCACAGTTTTACATCACAGGTAAGTGCAACTATGGAATATCATTTTGTACCAAGTTAAATATTTTCATGGTCTTATCCAATAAGTTACTCAGTGATACTTTGATCTGAAGGAACTAATATGCACTATATGTGCAACAACCGTGGGTTTGTAAATCTTAATATTCAGTTAGGTATTTTTCAAATCCTTTTGTTCATATGGACAGAAACATTGGTACAAAGGGACACCATATATATAGGCGTCACACAGTAACAATGAGGTTGTGAAGAGATATAGAAGGTGAAGTGCGTACAATGAAAAAGATGAACAACAATGAACAGAAATTAGTGCATGGAAGTTGTATAACAATAATTGGAGGAACTGTTCAGTTAGAGAAAATACAACCAGAAAGGATTCTTTCGGTTAAAGAAGTTATGTCCATATTTTATAAAGAAAGTTACAGCAAGATCGCCGCTGGCTTCTATTCTGAGCCATGTCTGATGACGTCTCTAGCTACTGTGTTGTACCATCTTCAGGACCCCAACCAGGAAGTCGTGAAGGACCAACAGAAGTCAGCCCTGTACAGCATTCTTTTATACTACAACACCATGTCATACACCGAACATCTTTTCGCCTTCTCCAACCAGTCCCAGTGTCGTCAAGTAATGCACGATGTGGAATTTGCTGGGACGACACTCGTAAGACACGTCCAAGCCACCGAAGTCAATGTTTCAAGATAGTGACACCAATTGAATTATCATCTCTGTGCCCGAACACACGATACCGAACCTCTTCATTGCTAACATGATGTTGCCACTGAATGTTAGCAATTCCTCGGAGACAATGATGACCAAACACAGAGAGTCTTCTAACATCCTCAACTCAGAGAGGTCAGGTTTCACAAGCATCAAGCAAAACTGCTCTCACCGACGCTTTTCAGATCCGACCTTTTGCAGCCAGATCAAGATTACGAAGGCGCCAAAGATGACCAAGATTGGCATAAGCCGCTCTGGCTTTCACTATACGTGAGTCGATCTCGTCGCTCACGCCACTAACAACACTTACGTAGCTACATAGATATACGAACTTCTCGACTACTATCTGCTCACTACCCAGAGTAAGTGCAGCTTGAGGGTCCTGCCAGTCTTGTAGAAGTACTTTGCAATTCGAAGGTTCAAGGCACATACCGTACTTATGGACTCTGATTACTAACTCATTAAGTGCGGATTGCATGGTTTGGGTATCACCGCACAGTAAGACAATATCATTCGCGTACTCAAGTCAGTTTTTAACCAGAAGGTCGTCAACGACTTTAAAAAGGACGTGACAGTCTTCGCTTGTGTCACATCGGCGATGAATGTACTGATAGTTAATGCCAACCAGAAGCATATTGTAGTCTGCGCAAAGTTGTAGTAGATGGTCACCGTTATCTGACCTGCGACCAACAAATCTCCATCGGTCATCTAAACGACTTTTCTATGTGTCTAGAAGCCCGACATATCATTTCAAGTTTCCGGCTAGTACTACAATATCCGTCGAACGTACGTTTTTAAAGGAACATTTAGCCGTTGGTAGTTTAATGCCAGAGGTTACTCTTGGTTTTCCGTTAGGAGTACGCCAAATTGATAAGCGTGGAATAGAACAGTTGGAGTGCGAGGTTGTCCTTTCAAATATACAAAGCTTTCAACATGCAATGTAGGACAATAGGAAATATAATGCTTATGCAAAACGTGAAAGTAAACAAATACCTCAGCCTTAAAGTCTTGACATTATTAAGATGTTTTCGGCCAATTGTTAACCACCCAACTTAAGTTGTTATATTAGCTTCCTCCCAGAACCGACCTCTGTAAGAATGACTGTTCGATCAACTTATTTGACAAAAGCATGTTAGTTATTTCCACGAATTACCGTGCCTTTACTATTTTACATTCCCTTTATGTTAAAACTAGAGCTAGTCAGAGAATAGGAGGTAAGAAATTGAAACAAGAAAACTTGAAGAAGTGCCACGAGCGGTCTACCCAACACTATGTCAGTGAAGTACAATATCTGTCGAACGTACTTTCTGTAGGAAAACAGTCAACTGGTAGCAAAACTCATCCTTGGTCGCATCCGGGCTGCAATCTGTCGGAGCGTAGGTGGATATGACGAAAGGATATCGTTTTTCACGCTGATTTTTTCGCACTTCTATGGAGCTTTCCAATCTAACAGCACAATTGACTAGTTCTACGTCAGTTCTACTGCTTAGTGCGACACCAACACTGGCAAAACCGAACGAAGTTTCCACAAGGTCCCTGAATAATCGTGTGTGAAACCAGCTTTTCGAAGCAACAGATTGAGTGCGAATTCGTAGTACTTCACTGGAGTATTGGTTACGGTTGACGAATAGATAACAGACATCTATGTCTAGACTTTCTCAGTCAGTCAGTCAGTCAGTCAGCTGCAACGTAGGACCAGGCACATATATGCATCGGTCCTAGTTACCATACCTCATTAACACAACAAGATGAACATCGAATTCATAGAGGTAGTTAATTCAGTGGTGGTAATGTATAAGAGAAAAATTGCATATAAGGACATAGTACAGGAAGAAAGAATTAGTTGGTAAAAAGATATGAAGCGATTTTAATCTCATAGTTTAAGGGATGAAAGAGAGTGTATACACTGACGCCATTGTGACCGATTCTGAGCCATGTTACCCAGAGTCTCCAACGATTGGTTACGATAGTCACGCGGACCCCAACCAAGTAGGCTGCATCTACCAACATGGCTCAGACTAGAAGTTAGTGACTTCAAGCACTGATGCCACGTTTTGGTTCGGTCGCCCCTAACATTCTTCCAACCATTTCCAACACTGGTCAGCATTGCTCGTCGTGGTAAACGGTGTTCAGGCATACGTAACACATAGCTCAACTATCTCAGTCGATGAAGATTCACAACCTCATCGACTGATTTACCATCATTTTCTAATACCCTGCGTCTAACCTCACTATTACTTACCCGGTGATCCCAGCAGATGCGAGCAATATTTCTAAGGCATCTGCGATCAAATACTAGTAGCTTACGAGTATCTTCTACTCTTAATGGCCATGTTTCGAAGCCGTAAATTAAAACAGAACGGACTGCAGCGCAGTATACTCGTCCTTAGGTTGACAGACGGATATCTCATCTTCGTCATAGGTGACGTAATTTGGCAAAAGCCGAACGAGCTTTTCGAATCCGTGCTGAGATTTCGTCAGACACTAGCCCATGATTGCTGATCAGACTTCCGAGATAAGTGAAGTTGTCAATGCGTTCGACTATTTCACTTCCTATCCTTAGTTCAGGTGTTGGCGCAGACTAGTCCCGAAGCAACAACTTGCATTTCGAGGGAGAGAAACGCATTCGAAACATTCTGGCATTGTTGCTTAGTGCTACCAAGAGACTCTGCATTTTATCAGCGTCCTCACCAAACAGAACTATGTCATCATCGTCTAGATAGGATAGGGTTTCACCATAGTTGGGGTGCTGTAGGGGTTGAATAAAGGAACATATAAAATAGGAATACAGGAATAGACAAGTGAGACAATGTGAAATGAAATTGGGCACTAAAAACTGGTTGTGAGTATTAGTCGCGAGAATGAGAATTAAGGCGTGAATAGATTTTCTGATTGTGGTCATCATTTAATTTGTATGTGGGCTAGGAAAAGTGACGGGGAATAAAAAAATAGGAACACGTGTTACTAAATGATTGTGAGTGGGATTTCTCTGAATGAATATTTCGAGAGAGCAGACTTTTTCCATCCTCTGAAGCACCACGACGTTTGGGGGCTTTCTACAAACCAGTTTTATATATTGTCGACAATCCCCGTGAAATTGGCATGTATCTGTTATGTTAGAAATACACTGTTATTACTATCATTAGTCTTTTATGAAAATTTCGCTTTACCCTGAGTAGTGATAGTACTTACATGAATGTACGAAAATTATAGGGAGTGGTGGATTCTTTTTTCTGCGTTGATAATTGTCTAAAATCACCAAGGTATTGATAACGTCTATATATATATATATATATATCACATTTTGTATATTGGATTATAAACAGCTCATTGTATTTTATGTTTTGTTTACTGTCCCGTAGAAGATAAGTGTTTCCTGCAGCCAGGTAGAGTTTGCCACCATCAAGTGACCCCGATCACTCAAAGCCCTAAAACAAAAGATATTGATGAGTCTTTATTATCTTCAGACTCAAATACTAGTCCTACTGGAGGATGCAAATTAGAAGTGGGTAACAAAAAAGGTGCCCCACTCCCACCACCAATTCCTCCTCGGTCGAATTTGCGAAATCAATTTGTTTCAACAACAAATACACGTGTTAATCCTGCAGATCTCATAATCTCAGCAACTGCCGTCCACCCTGTAATACCTTCACACACCTACAAAAAAGAAATCGCGAGGTAAGATCAAAATGAAAGTATTTGTTTTTCAGAGAAACTTTAAGTTACTATTCTTCTGATCACCCGTAAAGTTCCTAACTGAGATATCATTATTGGGAATTCAAGTTTTGCTAACAAATGTAAACGTCTCATGAGTCCCACCAGATTTTCGCAACCTTATAATCGATGTACTGGTTTCTCAATATTTCTGGACACAAGTTAGTCAACAAACTGCATTGGATCCTGGTTTTCCTATTCCCTTTTCTTTAAAAGCAAGAAATACTAAAATTCTCATCATTTGATTGATGTGTTCGTTTCTTTTTTGTTTATTACTGACTAAAATTTGTATTTTGTATTTTCCAGTGTTTGTTAAACCAATCATTCAATATAATATAGTTACTCGACTAAGTTATGTGCCATCATGATAAAATATACTCATTATTAAGTGTTTGAGAGTAATCATCAGTGAGTTTTCTACTTCGGCTTCATATATACCTACACATATCAGCAGTTCTCTTCGTGATTGTAAGCGAACGTATGCATCGTCATAGATTAAGTTAGATGAATCCTCTGCGCTTTATACTTTTCTTAATGCACAAAGTTCCGTTTATACCAATATACCATGTATAGTACTGTCAACGATGAGTTAAAATATCATGAATTAATTCTGAACCTTTCTGTTTCATATGTGCTTAAAGAGTTGGTAAATGACCATGAATTCACCCTTGAAATAGTTTGGGTTCTGTGTAGCGCTAGCAGAAGGTTTTTTCTATTTTTAAGGAGACCAGATCACTTTTTACTGAAAATTTTGTAAATGCTTTACAATTAGATCTTCACTAAGGTGTACTCTTTTGTACAATAATGTTTATCTACACAATTATTGACGGCTCGTTAAGGAAAATTGTGTATATAAAAAGCCCCTTTATGCGTCAGTAAAAACACTTTAGCTTTACACCCATTCATTAAAAAAGAAATCTAGTTAGATATCTTGCGAGCCGAACAAAAACAATCTCCTCAGACGACGCCATAGAAAAATTGGAGTTTACTGATACAGTGCTTACCGAAATGGGTTACCCGCAAATATTTTTAAAGGAGACATAAATGGTGCAGAAGACGTTTGATGCATCAGCCCCTCGAAAGAAACCCATCTTCCTAAATTACAATTTGAGGGGATGTACCTATTGATATTCTATATGTTACATTAGTGAAGGTGTAATGAACAAGAACACCAGTAGGGACAACCAAATGTATTTGGACACAAAATTACAAAATCTCTTAGTAAAATCTAAGAACCATACAGTAAATACTTCATATGCAAAATGTCAATAAATTGTCTCAGACTTGATTTCTCCTTCGTTTCTACACCAATTACTCTGTTGTCGTTCTATTTTCTTTGGTCTTCTTAACCTGTCGATAGGCATTTCACTTTCGGTTGATAATACATACCACTTATATCTGTCGACATCAATAGCACACACCACAAAGGGAGTTAAAAAGACTTTACACAGTGAAGCTTTGTCATTTTTTAGTCCATCAGTAATGTGTACTGAAACAAAGAATAAATAACCTGATGTCACCTCTCTGATTCGAATCTACATATTCAATTGCTCCCACAGAGAAAGTTACATGGTAACTCAACTAAGAAATCAGTGAACATCTCCCTGAGAGGTTTGGAAAGAATCGGAATAATTCTATTTTGTCACTCTTAGTTGACAGTGGTCATGTGTTAGATAACACTAAATCATTTTGATTGATCTACCATATACCTTCACTGTTTCCCAATGGGGTAAGACTGTTTCTTATATTTATCAAAAGCCATATATATTCGAACGTAAAACCCCAGTCTGTGTTCAGAAGAAATCTATAATATCACTGGCTTTTCCTTAGCTGGATAAGGTTTAAAAAATCGTACCAATTTCTTCACACCCTCTGTTTATTTACCAATAAATATAAAAATTACATTTTAAACAATTTCAGCAACTGAAATTCAAGTAATTTCAATGTTTTGCATGGCAAACTGATTCAGAGGAATAGTCAAAATTAACAATATCAGAGACCGTGTAAGGTTTGATAATAAAATCACACTGAAAGCCTGTTCACACATGTTAGTTTTGTTTATAGTAAGTTTGTGAGACAATTTGATACGAAATGGCGTTCGATTCTTCCTGAATAATAATGAGATGCTGGTTGCCTAGGTCAAACAATCGATGGTTTTAGTGTCTATACGATTGACTCACTCTATATGAGATACCTAGCCAGGAACTATTCTACCACACGTCAACGTAACTCAAATCAAGAACATATAATTCGCTTGACTATTACATGTATTAATCAGTAATCACGAGAATAAAAAGGGTAGGAGAATGTATATGGCGTATCAGATATGTGTGACTATATACTAGTATGTCTGTAATCAACAGTCAATCGCTATCTTCTTTCGCCTGCGTAACAGTATTTTAAAGTGAACCCTGATGAAGATCTAATTGAGAAAAATATTGTTTCGTTTGTGTTATTCTAACCTACACGATGAGAATTTTTGATATCTCTACTGTTTCATACATTTGACATGAGTTCAGAGATAGTTCACTCTTAACTTTATAGTCATCTCATCGATAATCTGAACAACAACTTGGATTCAAGTTCTCACAGAAACATTTAATTTCTATCAAGTGTGATAAATTCATGATTAATGATTCTCAGGAATATAAAGTCCAGTTTCAAAATAGCATCTATTAGTCAAAAAGTACTGGGTAGCGAGTATGTCTCTCTAGCCAATTTGACGTGATGTTAACATCATACAGTTGTTAATGGCTTTTAATTATTCGTGAATTTTTTTTATACAAGTGGTATGACCTTAACTTCATTCAACTTGAAAAGCAGATCAAACACGGTCGTTCCCAAAATTTCATGACTATATTTAGTGAATTGTTTTTACCCATTTATATCATTCTTACAACAAACTTTGAATCATGCTAACCGTTGATCCGATCTGTATAAAAAGCTAATGTGTGGAATACACTGGATATATCTTATTATTATTTTTTGTTAGGCCAAGTTTACTGAATAGGCTCCAGTCACAAAGCAATGGAGCATATAAGTCTACTCTATTTTGCTTTCGATAAGTATATTCAAACGTCGTAAGGATAGTTAGCAAATAAATATTAGACTTATAGGTAGTAATACCAAGGTTGGCCATTATAGCTTCAAATAAATTGAGCATTGGGCAGAAAGTTAATAATAAATATATTTTGTTGTTATATCCTAATGAGCCGAAAAATTGTATTTCTAGTGTTTCGTGACTTAGTGTAAGCCACTTCTTCAGGGTAGAACTGGTTACATTAAGTCATGAAACGTCAGAAATACAACTTTTCTACTCATTAGAATATAACTAAAAAATACATATATTATTACCAGGGTACAATGAATCGATACAATGAATCTCGCTCTCATAGGATGAATCTTAGTTTCAGAGTTTAAGGTTTACAGAATTGTTGATATTCTGTAGTAAATACTGAAATATCACCATAGCTTTTCAAATTAATTCATAGGAAAACTAAGATGTGACGGCGTTCTACAATACAATGATGAACTTATTGGGAAAAAAGAGAAATCTCATTTAGTAGGCATGTACCTATATAGATGATCATTTGGACAACACTGCATACAAGCAAATAATACGTGAATAATAGTAGCGCTGTAGCTAAATCTCAACTTTAATGTATCCTGTAAAAACAATAATGTTTTCTTCATAACTTCACGAAGAAGCCCTAAACATAGGGTGTCTCATATATATTACAAGTTTCTAATCTTTTATAGTTCTTTTTATCAACCTGTTGCAGCAGACCTCAATCACTAAACACAACTGTAAATCGACAGAATTATCGGACAACAATTAATTCAAACAAAAACGCAGCAAGCCCCGTAGCCACGATAAGCTCTTCTCTTGTATTGAGTCTCTCGGAGGAATCAAATAAAGTCAATACTACAGATTCTCGTTTTCAAACTTCAGATGATAACTTACAATCAGTATTATGTACAGCAAATGACATAAACTCACCGTCAGATACCCCTCCAAAACTACCTCCTCGTATGGTGACATCGAACAACTGCAATTTCATGATATCCAAAAAATCTCTAGCCCCCGAAAAAGTAGGTTTACCATTATGATAGATAAGCGTAAAGAAAATTCAGTCATTGTACGTAACTAATGGTTCTTTGTTTGCTAATTTTTACACTGGCCATATCGTTAAGTAAAAAAATCTATGTTATGTTTCAGGTTCACTAAGTGTAATAAATATGCATAGATCCAGATATTATTATAAAGAATTATGATGTATGGTATACGTATATTCTTGTAATGTCATCGCCTTCTGTGACTTGAATGATTCAGTTGTATGGCTTTCATTATCATTCTAAGCAACATGATTAGTATCAAATTTAAAAAGGCGAGTTGTTACAACACATTTGTGAGTGTTCTGTGGATTTATTTTAATGATCGAAATTGGGATATTACCATGCATACTTGTACTCTATTTGAATGTCTTAGTATATCAATATGGGGTTTGATATTTATTGATGCAACCTGCTTTTTGCGGCAAACTTTCAACATTCGTATCATAAATATCCAAAGGACATATGAAAGCTAAATAGTGAAAATGAGGATGAGAGATGAATAACAACAACTTAATCAATCCCCATGCTAATTCTTATATGAGCATTTGTTTAATTTACAAATAAAGACGCATTGAAAGCTTTATAATATAATATCTCAATTTGTGAATTAGATGCCTTCCCTAACTATCGTTCATTTAGATCTAAGAGAAATTATCTGAGTAATATAATTTTTGTTTAAATTGGCTTGAAAAAGGAAACGTTTTTCTTTTTATGTCATGAGTTGATAAATAATGATCATTTGATACACATAGTTCCCTTTATTATCTTAACGAGAGTAAGAACAAAGATTGGTGCAGAATAATATGAATTCATTTATTTCGTTAGGTTCTCATCAGCTGCTTACAACCCAAAATATTTGAAATTCAACATTATTGTGGATATTGACATACTTATGCATAAGAGGGCGATGAAGGATGAATAAATGTATCATGGTGTAGCGAAGATTCCGATAGAGTTAATGAGGTCATAAAATTTTGTCTCGAATAAATAGAGTTTGAGAGGGAAAGTTCCGGAACATTGAAATAGTGATTAGAACTCATGAAAATAGATTAATAGTAATAAAGAAAATATAAATTGAAATCAATCATTTATGTATGATGTAATTTAAAAGAGTTGGAGTAATAACTAAATAAATAAATAGAGAAATAAATGAAAAAAGGGGTTATCATTACCAGGGTAAAGAATGATTTATTACTGTCTCTTTTTGTATACATAGATCTGGTTTTAAACGTTTGATTGCTATTGCTTCGGCAAATTTCAAGAGGTTGCCGAAGCATTAACTTTCCCTCTCAAACTCTACTTATTCGAGACAAAATTTTATGACCTCATTAACTCTATCGGAATATTCGCTACACCATGATACATTTATTCATCTTTCATCGCCCTCTTATGTATAAGTATGTCAATATCTGTAATAATTTGAATTTTCAAATAATTTAGGTTGTAAGCAGCTGATGAGAACCTAACGAAATAAAGTGAATTCATATTATTCTGCACCAATCTTTGTTTTTGCTCTCTTTAAAATAATCATTTGGTTGTAAATCCCTTTAGCCTTAAAGAGAAATAATAATACTTCCAGTAAAATTTCCACTAGAATACGGTATTGTTCAGATGGATAATAGTATCTGTTTTCAGCGATTTCATTGCACTCCATTTTTATGGCAATCATAGATTATAAACGGAAAATTTGCACTGATAAATTTAAATAGGTCTAGACCATGAAAAAGACAGTGTTACTGCTTTCTACACATTAGAGAACATTAAAATCAGATTTTGGATGTCGCCCTAGTCTAACTTTTGAATTTCCCATTTTTAGGTTGAAAAATTTAGCACACCACACATGAATACCCCTACAGAACAACAGCAACAAGATGAAATTGGAACAGATGATTTTTGTAGTCGATCGGCTAGTCCCTTTGTAAATCAACCAATAAAAACTTATTTCTCAAATTCAATGGAACCTGTTATCCCTATAAAACTTGATAATGATGGTAATACTGAAAGACCGACATATCCTTCAACGAAACTATCAACACAAGGCCAAGAACCTGAAGTAACAAAAGAATCTATGGATTCATCCCATGAACAGCATACATTTCGAATAGTAAAACCAGTTAATCCAGCTGTTTATCGACGGTTTATGGAACAAAGAATGGCAGATATTGGTAGAATACACCGCGAACGTAAGGAAAGACGTGATCGTCTTGAATCCGAAATGTCCAAAGTTGGTTTAGATGAAAATGCTCGTGTTCAAATGCGCTGTTTACTTCGCAAAAAGGAGTCTAATCACATGCGAATGCAACGTGCTAAAATGGACCAATCAATGTTTTACAGGATAAAACATTTAGGTGAGTAGTTATTACAGAAAAGCAGCTGTTTGGAAGTTAAATGAAATTTTCTTTTCCCTTTAAATTTACATTTTATGGTAAACAAAAATTGTTAAAATGGTTAAAATATGAAAAATTTAGTGCAGTTTAAAAGAGAAACTTTTCATTTATTCGAACATTATTATCGTATACCTACAAATATACCATTAAATGCGATCTTAAATAAGTTTATCCATTATCTATGAACAAACAGGATGTCTTTTGTTCAGACACAATCTAATTTTTAGATGCAATTTAAAGGTATGTAATATTCTTTTTGAACTTCCTATCTCTAAAATTTGTTTTAGTTTTCGTTTATTTATTGAATAATAAACAAATTTTCTTACGCCTAATGTGAATAGGAGAATTAATATACATCGATTTTCTGTAGATGACATTCTTATAGTAAGGGATACAGCATCTTTTCTACAAAATCTAATAGTAGTTGATCAAGTACCAAATAAAACTTGAATGATGTCAATCCTAGGTTAGAAGAACTTACAAAGGCCATATTGTAAACTTTTGTAATCGAACATATAACTGTCAGGTTGTGAACTTTATTCTAATTTCCACTTGTCATGGTAAAAACTCTCACATTTAACACTTTTTAACTGCATTTATGACTTCTTAACTTAACCCGTATGTTATGATAACTGAAATAAAATGTGCCATTCCGTATTCAGCAGAGGTTTAATGACATCTTTTTTGTAAGAACCAAAAGTTTTTTAATTGTAACTATGAGCATTGGTTCTTGACGAATATGTCTAGAAATAAACTTCAATACATTTTATATGTAGTGGTTGTTAATTTTCGAAGTATAATTTGTAATATGAAAGTTTAGTATTGACCTAGAATATTGTGTTTCTGTTCTTCAGTAGTGTTCTCGATATCGCTGTAGCATTTAAAACATTTCCTGAGTTTCATCATTTTACTAAAATCATGAATCAATTGATTTTTTAGAAAAAGTTCCTGTTACCTATTCTCATTCTTTTCCGTTTAATGAAACGTTGAATTAATAAGAAATGTAAAGATGTAATAATTCAGTTACAAAATAAAGCCGATAAATCTTATTGTAAACAGTGTTGTAAAGTTGATGTACTTACGAATTCCCGCCCATCTAGTAATCTATTATGAAATAAACAACTCCATTACTATCTTATGTATCACCCTACTGGAAAAAACAATTCTGATGTTCAGTTGAATGGTAAAAACTCGTTACTTACATCTGTTACCCTTCATGGAGGACCATAGGCCGCTTACCAGTATTCTCCATCCAACTCTGTCCTGGGCACTCCTTTTCAGTTGCTCTTAATCCTTTTCATGTCTGCATCCAATTCGCGACACAATGTGTTCTTTGGCCTTCTACTTTTTCGTTTCCCTTCAGGATCCAAGTCAGGGCTTGCCTCGTGACGTAGTTTGATGCTTTCTTCAATGTGTATCCTATCCACTTTCAATGTCTTTTCCTAATTTCTTCCTAAGCTGGAAGCTAGTTTGTTCTCTCCCACAGTAGACTGTTGCTTATGATAACTGGCCAACGGATATTGAGTACCTTACGTAGACGATTCCTGACCGTTGTTGCTATCTTGACGTGGTGGTCGGGCTTGAATATCGTTGGAGACTTTGGGTGACATGGCTCAGAATCTATGTATATACTCTCTTTTATCCCTTAAACTATGAGATTAAAATCGCTTCATATCTTTCTTTTTACCAACTAATTCTTTCTTCCTGTACTATATCCTTATATGCAATCTTTGTCTTATACATTACCACCATTGAATTAACTACTATGAATTCGGTGTTCATCTTATTGTGCTAATGAGGTATGGCAACTTGGATCGATGCATATATGTGCCTGATTCTACCTTGTAGCTGGCTGACTGATGTAGACAATTATTTATAAATACTTGTACCTTTTGATGGTGGTTGTGATAGTTCTCCGAATTTCAGCTCCATACAGTGGAACTGTGTTGACGTTCGTATTGAAGATTATCATTTTGATATTGGTTGACAATTGTTTAGAGTTCCATGTGTTCTTCAGTCGTAGGAATGCTCCGCTTGCCTTGCGAATCCATGCTTTCATATCTGTATCAGATCCCCTTTGTTTATCAATAACGCTCCCAAGTATTTTAAAAGTTTCCACATCTTCCAGAGCATCTCCATCAATTGTAGTTTGGCTGGTGCTCGCTATATTATATTTCTCAGGCACACCACAGTGTCAAAAAAGGGCCATAAAGTTCTCTTATCCACACTGTCAAACGACTTATCATAATCAAGGAAGTTGATGCATAGTGACGAGTTCCGCTCAACTGATTGTTCAACGATGGTCCTTATTTTCGCGAATTGGTCTGTGCACGACCGATCCTTACGGAATCTGGTCTGTTGACCCCGAAGTTGGGTGTCTGCCGAATCCTTCATCCAGTTCAGCAACACTCTGTTGGAAGTTCTTCCTGGTACCGATAGTAGTGTGATGGCCCTGTAGTTTCCACATTTGCTCCGATCGCTTTTCTTTGGCATCCTGATGAAATATCCCTCTTTATAGTCCGTTGGCACTTCTCCTTCTTCCCAAATCTTCCTGAATAGAATGTGGAGCATGTTTTCAGTTGATTCTATGTCTGACTTCAGTGCTTCATCTGGTATTCTGTCAGGTCCTGCTACTTTTCCACTCTTGGTTTGTCTGATGGCCATCCTAATTTCTTCGATAGTTGGTGGAGTGACATCTATACGAAGGACTGTGTGTTGTTTTAATGTCTGGTGGAATCAAGTTAACTGGTCTATTTGAGAGTTCTTCTAGGTGCTACACCCACCTGTTCCTCTGTTCTTGAACCTCATTGATTGACTTGCCTTCTTTTCCTTGACCGGTTTACTATATTTCCCTTTCATTTTCTTCGCTGTGTCATATAATTGTTTCGTATTTCCTTCCCGTGCATTTTTTTTCTCTGTCTTTTCCACGTATTTCCGCTTGTCGGCTCTAGTGCTTCTGTGAATTCAGCTTGTGCCTTGATATCCTCTGTTCTTGTTTGGCTGTTGTTAATTACTGTCCTCTTGTCCTTCCTTTCTTGAATATTGTCTAGGGTTTCGATAGAGATCTATTCCTTATGATGAAACTTGTTGCGGCCCAGAACCTCCTAACACGTTGAAGTTAATGCTTCTTTGATCCCTTTCCAGTTTTCCTCCATAGTAGTTTTTTCTTCTCTCATTAGATCTTGTAAGGCCTAAAACTTGTTGTTGAGATCTATCTTGAATTCGTTGAATTTGTCAATATGTCGGAGGAAGGCTCTATTAAACCATTGTAATGTTGTTTCCCCAGTTGCCCAGTGCTTCTTTAGCTTCAGTTTCATCTTGGCAACCACCAGTTGGTAGTGATTAAAAGCTTTGCCAGCTCCTTTCCTGGTTCCCACGTCTTCTATTGGCCTTATGAATTTTTTACTGATACAAATATGATCTATCTGGTTCTCCGTGTAGCTTTTTAGCTTTGTGTATGTGTTTATGGGGGAATATTGTCTCACCTATGACCAATTTGTTGAATGCACATAAATTTGCAAATCTTCATTCTCGTTTGTTTCTCCCAGTCAGTCCATGTCGTCCCATGATATCTTCATAACCGTTGTTGTCCATTCCGAATTTGTCGTTTAAGTCTCCCATCAGGATTGTCAGGTTCTCTTCTGGGCACTTCGCTATGATCGATTGCAGCCTCTCGTAGAACTGATCTTTATCGTCGTCATTGCTATCATTGTTGGGTGCATAACACTGGATAGCATACATTGTGATCCCCTCCTTTTTAGATTTGAGAGGTGCTTTGATGATCCTGGGTCCATGAGATTTCAACCCTATGAGTGCTTTACGTGCACTTTTGGAAAGCGTCAGAGCAACTCCCTGAGTGTATGAAGGATTTTACTCTACGTGACCGGAGTACAGAAACATCTCCCCGTACCTGATTTTTGTTGTCCAGCTCGGGTCTAATGGATATCGCTGATTTCGAGAACCACCAAGTTAAATCTCCTCATTTCGGTTGCTATTTGGCTGGTCCTTCTGGTATCCTACATTATCCGGACGTTCTATGTACCTATATTAACTGTTGCTCCGGTAGTTAGAAGAAGCATCGGCCTCGTGACTTTCGAAAAATTTCGGCTTTCATCATGAGGTGTCATAATTATCCCTTCAAGTCCCAGGGCAGAGTATAAATGATTTAATTTGTTTATTCTGATTGGCGTTTTTTAACAAGGATGTTTTCTACGGGATGGGGTTGCTGATTCTATGCCCAACCGTCCTCCTTTGTACGGGTTCGGGACCGGCTGTAGCCCTAGAGGAGCTACAGACGGGTTATGTAACAACTCGCTTATGAAAAAATGTTTATGCAACAAGGATTTTTCAACAGGTAATTTCTCAATGGTCCAAAGAGTTAAATATCAACACCTTTTGGCTAATCTTTAACTAAAGTCAGTACAGCCATCATGATTGCAATCATTCATGAGTATGAAAAAAATACAATTTGTTTTTGACAGATGTATAATGAATATTAACCCTCAGCAACAATATTTTTATGACTCCAACGTGGGAACTATGACTGTTAAAAGTGGAAAGTTGTTTTAAACTACCCATAATGTCTTTTACTTGTTAACACAGGAATATACATCCCACACATTTTTTAACAATGATGTTTTATACGGGATGGTGTTCTAGCCACATACTCAACCCTTTTCCTTTACACGGTATCGGGAACGGGAATGACCTTAGTAGAGCTACAGGAGAGTTAATATTGCAAGCAATCTATCAATAATATCAAAATTAACGAGTCATCTGAGTTTCTTTAGGTTTATATTGACTGTTTCACATAAATGTGTCTCAGATCATCACTAGTTTAGGTTTATTCGCATATTTTGTATCACTTAATTTGATGTTAGCAACAAACTACGATTTTAGAATCATTCCATGTATCTGCCGATTAGGGTAAAATTGATTGAATCCCATAACGTTTCTATAAACGGAATATAGTAATCAAATATAGTGTTTATTCTCTACCCCACTAACAACACAAACGAACGGATTTGAATTTATCGCCGTTTCTAGTATAAATTTAATTGTTAGATAATTTCAAGTATAATATTTGTTTTGTAAAAAACAGTTACAACAATGCATTGTATAAACATTATGAGCAGAATGAATGGTTTCTAGCTGTGTAATTAAAGGTGATA